AACCGATTGGGTAGATTTCTTGATAACACATTTCTAGCGTCTATACTAAGGAGCTCTTTAAGTATGAAATATCAATTCCAATAATTATGTCCCAAACATCAGGTAAGCGCAGGATCTTAATTCCGCGAAATTTCTGTGCGAAAGTACGAGTGTATTCGGCGGTATCTGCGAAAAGGGGCTATCGTTCTTTCTTCAAGGTAAGGTCTTAACTGTGTATTACTTGGCGAGAAAGAAACTCTACTCGCTGTTCTGACCAATTTGACGATAAGTGTGCCTGGTGATTTCTGTCTAGAGCTATGTGATGAAGCGCGATAAATCGCACCGCTTAATAACTTGAGCAGGAAATGATGCCTAAACCGTTATATCAGCAAAGCAAGGTTTGCCTTTGCTTCTGTGCCTTCAAAGCAAGAAAAGGACTTATTTCTCTGGTACTTAGATGGTATATGCTTAAAATTACAAGGTGTATTATCCAACTGTTGGACCCAAACATGAGCAAGAATAACTGATTACAGTGTGAATCTTGACATCACACCTCAAATATTCCTTCCCTGTAAGATGACGGGCTCTTGGCAGGTTAGTGTATTTTCAAACTTATTTTATTGTACTGTTTGGCAGTTTCAAAAGCAGAATCCTAAACATGCTCTCGTTATTTTGTTAATTCTTTCCAGGAGCCATTAGTAATGGGCTCCTGTTCTTACCCATTCTCCTTGGTAACTAATCCTTAATTACCTGTCTCATCTCAGTGAGGGAAGAACCAGTCTTTTTCACCTGGTTACGTCTCTTGGGTAGTCAGTCCTATTTGGGCTGTTGTTGTCTGAAGGCAGAACCTATAATTTTTTTTTTCTCAGAGAGTTGCTTCATTTCAGACTGCGCATTTTTATCTTGTAATAAACGAATGAATCTCGACAAGGTTAAATTTACTTGTCTTGATTTAACATATCTTTTCCTTTGCAGATTTAATTTTTCGTTAACCTTGAAAAATCTTGATGAAAAACCCATGTTAGTTTTCACTAGAAAAACTAATTCTCCTGTAGAGATGACCAACCATTTCGAACTGAATCAACACAATATAGTAAGTGCACGTTTCGTTGACTAACTGTCTGGTAATTTTTCGGTCGATATTGGTTTTGTCTTGGTGGTGTCTGCCCTCAATTCTCGTAGATGTTTCATTTAAAAGCAAAAATGAATTTAAGAATAAAATTACAACGATAAAATACCTCTTCTTGTAACGTATTCCATTGTATTTACATTTCCAACTCCACTCTCAACAGTGATAACTTCCCTTGCTTAAAATCAACTTGAGATACGAGATGTAATGTCGGTCATGGATTGTAAAAGAGGTTTGATACTTTTTTTACTTGTCTATGTTTATTTTCTCGCAGTCTAATGCGTTTAATTAGCAGTGTTCGCAGCGGGGCGCCAGGAAACCCGAACAGAAAAAAAAAAAAAACTGAGATTTTACTCCTTTATTGATCGCTTTAAAGTACTTTTCTTCCTTAGTATTCAGCCAATTATGTGCTGCAGGCGATGGGTGCAAAAATCTTCGTCATATATTTATTTACAAGCCAATATTATTAGAAAAAAACAAAACAAAACAAAACAAAACAAAACTAAACTCGAGCTCTGCTACGCTTTGCGATCCATGAGTGTTCTCATCGCGGTTAGAGCTTGCTGTTGTTTTTGGTGTTATCTTCCGGAGTGGACTTCACTACATTTTTGTTAGCGTTTGAAAATCGAAAAAAAAATGGTTTTGGAGCAAAACTTTACCCCTCTCAATTCTCAACCACTTTCGAGTTGTGTATATCAATAGAATGGATCAGCAAATTTGCTTTGTACGTTTCGCGAGGGGCTAGGGAAAATGTTTGACTCAACGCAAGTGAAGCCGACGCTTCAGGTCGGCGTCGATCCTTTATTATTCTTTGTAAAAAGAATCCTATCATTGAGTTAATCTGTGAAATTTATTTGGCATACATTGTGCGCTTTGAAGTACACATGAGTTGTTAGTTCCACGCGCCGGTTTAACCTTGAAAATGCATGCAAGCGCGTGTCCTCATCTGGAAAACATTCGTATTATGACAAGAGAGGTCAGATTATGGGTCTTAGGTTACGCTCGCGATGCAATTTGGACGCTGGAAAGTGCCAAAAAGATAATTCATCGGCAACACCTCGATCGTACTGTAGGCACTAACTCAGTTCTTCTCTTGCAGTTAACAGTTGCTAGGCGGATCCCAGAATAGCCCATTTTGCATAAAAAAAATTATTTTAGAAACCACGCTATTTCCTAAACAAATACGACTTGACACCCAAATGTCAAACTGCAAACAGAGGTCAAGGTGAAATACAAAATTACAAGTGACACATATATATCCAAGATAGGCCGAGGTCGCAGTTGAGCTTTTTTTTTTTTTTTTTAGCCAGCACTAGAGGCGCAAGCGTCGCACCAAAAAAGAAAGAAAAAAATTTCCAATTTTTGACTCGTGAGTAATTTGATAATATTGTTATTCGCTCTAACGCGACCCGTTCAACTGTTTATTTAATTCTATCTCATGAATTCTGATTGTTTACTGTGTGGATCAAGTCTTCATAGGTCACGCGATGTTAAGGTCACGTTTGATGCAAACCTTCTGTTCTTTGGTTTCATAAAAAGCGAACGACGGTGGATTTGTTGTCAGTTGTTGTCAGAAACGGAAACTGCAACTTAAATGATAAAGATTTCTCAACTTTGTTGCCAAATTAAAGTCTGTAAACCTGGTCTATATTCTCGGGTGAAATAAATTTAGTTTCGGGTGACCGAACTCTGGGGGAGATGACTTTCAGACGACTTGACTAGTTCAGTTAACTGAATTAACAATACTGAATCAGTTCTCCTCAGCATAGATTGGCTCGTTTCCCTCTTTATCTTTGAGTATTGTCTCGTCTTCATGGCGAACAAGGGATCTTTCTCGGGTTGTTGTCACCTCGGTAAGATACTTTTGCCGTGAATACAATTGGCACGTTGTTTTGGAACGATTAAGTGCCCCTTTTGGAAGTGAGCACTGCATATATGACCCTTCGTAAGACGAGAATTCTTCATTGAAAAATTATAAAGCCTCTAATTTCATCGATTCTTATTTCCTAAGAGGCTGAGAGAGGAAAACTGCGGTTTGAGTTTCTTTGAATTACTGTTGCCGGGCCACAGACTGTAATGAAATACACCATGAGGTGTATAAGAGGCCATATTTAATTTTCATTCTTCGCGGAAAGAAATGACGCCCAAGGAAACTAGGAAAAAAGATACTCTACGCTTTCCAAAGGTACCAAGATAATGAAATTTTGTAGAAAATTAAGTACATATGTGTTTACAATAAATTGAAGTAAAAAACGAGCGAAACGATTCTCAAATATGCGAGTTTAAGATTCGTTCCTTCGACATCAGTTGCCAAAAACAAAGGAGAAGAATTACTCCGATTTGCGAAATCT